TATGTGTGAAAGGGGTAAAGAAAGGGGAAGACGATGATATTTGAATTTATCCTTGAAGTTATTTGAATTAGAGATAAAGGCTGCTTAAGCTTTTTCTGAACACAAAGAATAGTATAGGAGTAAAACTTGAGCACTGTGGTCCACTGTAATTTCATTTCAGTCTGTTTATTAAAAATGTCACATAGCGCAGTAACAGTATCATTTACTAGATAACGTTTCGGACACAATTTTTTGTCCACATTCATATCAGTTAACTCCAAAACTCCGAGACAGAGTTTATATATTCCTAATTTTCTCTCATTCTTTGTAATGACAACGGCAGTAGAATTTCCCATATATCTAGGACAGGTGAAGAATCAGTTCTATAACTGTTTGTAATTGGTGTTGATTCGACAAACAAAGATTCAGTTGTCAATCTCTCCCTCCACCCAACTAAGTCAGTTTTCAACACGATCACTCTATCCTACCCTACTGTGTGACTGTGTGTAATTGCGTGCAGAGCTAAAGTCGAGCTTTTCTCTAAACGTCTTTTCTTATTAGGATCTACTAATCTTAATTTAGCTAAGGTTTTGTACCATGTTATTCTAATCGACCCTGTTCGACTACTTTGACGTATGTATTTGGCAACGAAGATGTGGAGTTACATGATATGAATATGGACAGTAAGTCGTATCCGAAACGTTATCCAGTGAATGATACTGTCACTTCACTGTATGATATTTCTAATAAACAGTCTAAAACACAAAGACTAGGTTTCTTCTCTCTAATTACCATATCCCCAGCTATATGTAAAATGCGAGTGAGAATTCTATACGAAAGAATTTGCGGAATACAATAGATAATTTTGAACGCTTTGGTCTTATCTATTACATGACCACTGTCCATTAAATGTGACAGAATTGAACTTCGTATCGATTTCACTTATCCCTTTCCTAGCCATGATGGTAGGTGCTCAGCAATACGTTTGTTAAACTGCCTAGTGGTACGCTCAATATAGCTTTCTCCACAGGAGCAGCTGAATTGATAAATGCATATAAAAGTGGTAGAACTGGGTAGCTTGTCTTTTCTCTGAGCAGCAATTGTTGACTGTTTAGAAAATGATAAGTTGAGGTTAGCATCATTAAGGGTTCTTCTGATGGCTATGGGCCGCCTATGGGATAGAACTTCATTAGGCACGTCGCCTTTGAATTGGAGCTTCATGAATATTGATCTCTTTTGAACGACCATTTGGTCAGACTTCATACTCATTTTGTTCATGTCTTTTGATAAAACTATGAGGTTAACTCATTTCCAGCATCATATTATGAATGTCTTCTAACTTCTTTTGTATCAGTCCATCGGAGCAGATCCTACTGGCTTTGTTTGCAAGACATTTAATTAGACTTCTTTTATATCGAATTGGCACAAAGCTAAGGAAATGTATATACTGACTCGTAGATGTTATCTTTCTGTACACCCTTCTACTGAGTGACCTATCTTCTCTTCTAATCAGTAGGGCCCCTAGAAAATATAAAGCGTTAAGTACCCTTTACTATACTCTTTTATTGGTCTTGAGTTGATACCCTTCTATAAGACCACAGTGAAAGTTTCCCAGTTGAATCAACTAATTTACAGGTTAACTATTTCACTAGTTACTGCACGGTCCTAAGCCCCGATAAAGAGGGAACGTTGGGCATAGGGTTAGCAACCCTACCACGGGAAACCAATTCAACCGCTAAAGAAACTTTAAAGCACAAACAAAATATAAAAAATAATAACAAATTATTCCTCGCTGGAATCGGAGAGGCGAAAGGACGCCGGTTGGTGAAAGCCTGACTTCGGGAAGCCAATTGGCCGATGTGTCTTCTCTGGATGAAAGCGAAAGTAAACATGGGAACATGGAATGTCCGCACTATGTATGAACCTAGCAAGGCTGCCCAGATTGCAAAGGAGATGAGAAGGTATCACACTGAAGTGTTAGGAATTCGCGAAAGCAGATGGAATGGAAGTGGACTCCCCAAACTGTCAACTGGAGAATCAATAATCTACTCCGACATTATCACCCAGACGACAACCACGAGCACAGCACACTGAGTTTTCGAGTGGCTATCATGATGTCCCCTCCCAACAGCATCGAAGGCTCTTTCTCGTGCAGTGGGAACCAATCTCCCCTAGGATCATAACAGCAAGGTTCAACTCAAAAGGAAGGAAGGTCACAATCATACAATGCTATGCACCTACAAATAATGCAGAGCAAGAGAAAAAGGAGGATTTCTACAGACAACTTCAATCAACACTGGACAAGACGTCAGTTGGCGATATCAAAATTCTAATGGGCGACATGAATGCCAAACTGGGAGGGGACAACACGGGAAGAGAACTAACCATGGGTCGAGAAGCGCTCGATGAGGTGATGAACGAGAATGGAGAATTGTTTGCAGAATTCTGTGCATTCAACGATTTGGTGATTGCAGTGAGGCACTGTGTTCAGCACAAGGATATCCACAAAGCCAGCGACATGGATTTTCCCAGATGGACACACTAAAAATCAAATCGACTTTATCTCAATCTCAAGAAAGTGGAGACAAGGTCAAGAAGAGGAGCAGATGTAGGTTCACACCACTCACAATCTAGTGCAAGGAACCTTCCGAATCAAGTTGAAAGCCTTCAAGAAAGTTGGTGATAGACCATAGTTCAAGTTCAACACCCAGAAAGGGAACTGAAGGACGAAACTAGAAGGGTCATCTTCATGTCAGCCATCAATAAAAAATGGGAGATATCGAGCAGCATCCCTGAAGAAACCTGTATGGATGGACACTGGAACTCTTTGAAAGCTATATGGAAAGAAACCTGCATAACCTTATTAAGAAGGAAGAAGAAAGAAGATAAGGAATGGAATGGATCTCGATGGACACATGGAAGCTGACAGAGCAGGGAGAGGAGGATGGTGAAGCAGAAGATGAACCAGTGCAAGGATGAACAACGAGAAGAGGGACTGAGTAAAACGTACAAAACACTGGACAAAGAAGTGAAGAAGAGTGCGCGCAAAGACAAAATACAATTCCACGACACGCTTGCAAGTGAAGCAGAACAGGCTGCAATCAGGAGAGACCTGACAGCATTGTATCAAATAACCAGGTTACTTAGTATCTGGGAAGAGACCAACGCAAATCAAACCAATAAAAGACGATGGTGGAAATCTAATTATCAAAGAAGAGGACAAAGGAAAGGATGGGCTTACCACTTCAAAAAGCTCTTGAATAGACCACCACCACCAATACCACCTGCACTTCGTCCAGAAATACCACCAGCACCCCAGCCACAGAACTACCAGAGAACACAAATCCTCCAACAACAGTTGAAGTCCTGAATGCCATAAAGCTGCTGAAACGCGGGAAAGCATACGGACCATATGGAATCCCGCCAGAAGCAATGAGAGCAGACGCAGAGACAAAGGCGGACATGCTCATACCACTATTGCAGAAGGCCTAGAAGGAAGGGAAGGTTCCCGGCGATTGGAAGAAGGGTTACCCTGTCAAACTCTCGAAGAAGGGCGACCTAAGTGTTTGCAAGAACTGGTGCGGAATCACGCTCCTGTCCATCCCAAGCAAAATATTAAGCCACATCATCCTGGAGAGACTAAAGGATGCACTGGATTCAAAACTACGACCGGAACAGGCTGCCTGGCTTCAGGATGTATAAATCATGTGCGGATCAATTTGCAATGCTACTCTCCGCATCATCATAGAACAGAGTATAGAATTGCAGTCAACTCAATTCTCTACCTCAACTTCATCGACTCTGAGAAGGCCTTTGACAGCGTCGACTGAGAAGTAATTTGAAACTGCATAAACACTACGGAATACCACAGACCTTTATCCGCCTCATTCAACAACTATATGAAGACGCCACATACCAGGTGATCCACAATGGAATGCTTAGTGATGCTTTTGAATTGAAGATAGGAGTGGAACAAGGCTGTCCACTATTCCCCATGATATTCCTGATTGTGGTGGACTGGATCATGCAACAAACTGTGAGGAGGGAGAAGAGGGGGATACACTGCCTGGACCGATGAAAAGAAGCTAGATGACTTGGATTTCGCCAGTGATGACTTATTTCTAATGTCACACAAACTTGAAGATCTACAGACGAAAACTAACAAGTTGACAGAAGAGACTGGGAAGCGAAGACGGGACTTCAAGTGAACGTAGAGAAGACAGAGGTGATGGTGATACTCAACTAACGCCACCAACAACAACGATAAGCTCTAACCACCATGAACGGGAGAAACATAAAGTAAGTAGCCTCTTTCACATATCCACCTATCTACAGGCGGCACAGACACAGGCGAGGATGTCAAAACCAGGATGGGAAAAGCAAGACAGGCTTTCACTAATCTGAAATCAGTATGTGCACCTACTGCACTCAGCACGAAGAACAAGTTTCGGATTTTTAATACCAAGTCAGTCAAGTCAGTGCTTCTGTATGGTTCACAGACTTGGCGTGTCACGAAAAGCATTTTCAACAAACTACAAATATTCATCAACAACTGACTACGCTGGCTCGTTACTGAAGCTCAGATGGCCACAATAATAGCAGTAAGCGACAAGTAACTTTGGTCTGCTAACGAACCAACCGAGAACCTGTCTCCCAACTCACATGCAGAGGAAGAAAGTGGAGATGCATTGGATTGGATTGGACATAGACTGAGATGACGGTTTGGTGACATCATGCGTCAGGCCGTCCAGTGGAACCCAAAAGGAAAAGGGTGAGTTTGGCATCCGTAGTGAGGGTGAGATGGAGGAGATGGTGTGAGGAAGAAATGAAAGGTAACGGGCAGTGGTAGAGCCAAGTTGAAAAGACTGAAGAGAAGAGAGTGCAATGGAGGCGTGCTACTGAAGCCGTTTGTTTCACTAGGAACCCAAGGGAAAAGAATGATAAAATATTTCCTAGATCAATTTTCTATCTGTTGCAAAACTTCTTTACCTTTGATTCTGAATGTTTGATAAACAAGACTATTTTGGACAAAAATTAGTTTATTCAACAAGAACATGAACGATGAACAAGTGACTATTACAGTTGTTAGGTTAAAACACCGAAAAAACTTTGAAGAGATTCAGTGATGAATAGTTTATTCACCAACTGCTGTTCTGTTTGCATTGATCATTCAGATTTTTTCACAGTATCCAGCAGTTTCATGGTTTGACTATATGAGGTGGGGATTAAAGCTTCAGCAAGTTTTGCAACCAATTGCGGTAGGTAGTAAACAAATGGACTTATTGTTATTTGATTCGAGAATAAGGCATTCATTGCCAATATACCATATGGTAACCAACCAAATATTGTAAATGATAAAATTGAATTGTTCATCTGTTCATTGTGTTGTTATATTGTAGTATGAAGAAAACGCGAGAAGAGAAGGAATTGGATTAAATTTTATCATTTGTAAAAAACTGAACAATAGATCGTCTATTAGTTTTTGTAATTTCTGTTGCTATACTTAGTTGACTTGCTCGGTCTCTGTTGACACATAAACTTTTATGTGAATGTTCGGTGTTATCCGGGTACTCATTATATTACAGTCTCTGGGTAGCAATGGAATCCAGCTTCACGCACGTTTCGTCCTATTTATGACTAGTCAGCACCTGAGTGATGTAGCTCTCACTGAGGATGATACTCGTTGAATAAGAGATGGGTCTTCTGCTGCAGTGAGGTAGCTAATAATTCTTCGTTATTTGAATAGATTGGTACTAGGTTTAGATGTCAGTAGGAGCAACATCAGTCATTGGGATGGAAATACACTCTGCTGACTAGTCTCAGATAAGACGAAACGCGTATCCTCAATTCCGCTGCTAGCCGCCAAACGGGTTACTTTATAATAAACAGTAAGCGGTTCATGTTGTTGGAGTAGTCAAAGCTGACTACGCGATTCTAGGCGGTCATATAATCTTGAAATAGTGGGGAATATTTGTAGCTCAGGTGGATGGTCTTGGCTGTATTGTGTTGTCTGAGCTGGGTTGTTTAATCGTGAAGCTTTCATCGTTTCTAGACAGTGACATCATCAGCACTAACTTCAGTATCATGTGACCTGTCAATATCTCTCCGTGAGTGTTTTAGTAGCTTGCATGACGAAGCGGTCTATGATTGGTTGTTTCCTTTGATTGTTGTGTCATTGACTGACTGCATAGACTTTCCTGTTGGTTGCTCTCTGCTTGACCTCTGACCTTTCTGTCGTTGATCATCTTTCTTATTGATCTATGTCTGTACATCTATTGATTGCTGACTGACCTGAATGCCAAGCTTCTAGGAATTCTCTGATCTTCTTTGTTTTCCTCTGTCCAAAATTTCTACATTGTAGAAAATGAATTCATGTACATAGTTGTTATCCACGTGCATTGAAATGAGTGACGAAATGTCATGTGTGACGTTCAATAGCCAATTGGTGTTCATGTAGACGAAGGCGAAGACGGTTACCACTTTGTTCAATGTAGTGTTGACTACAGTTATTGCAGTTGGTTTTGTAAATGATATTCGATTTGTCTTCTTTGATTGTTGCATCCTTTGGTCTGCATAATAGTGTTTGGAGGGAATTTGTTGGTTAATGAGGTGGACCAGTTCCAAGTGGTTTCAGTAATCGTGATTGTCATGATTTCTCATACATCTTCTTTATGTATGGTAGGATGATGGGTTTATTGATTTCTGTCGATGACTTTGTAGTTGATGATGTACGGGATTGGCATCTTATGATAAAGTTTAGTGGGTAGATGTTCTTCTTTAGGATGGACATCAAGTAATTTTCTTCATTTCTCCGTGAAGTTGTTGTACTACAGTATGTTCTTGCTCTTTTGAATATAGTCTGCATGCAACTAATTTTGTGCATTGTTGGGTTGTTGCTACTGTAGTTGAGGATTTGATCAGTGTGTGTTGGCTTCCAGCACACTTGGGTTTCCAGCTTCCCATATTTGTTCTATTGAGCAGAACATCTAGGAATGGTAGTTGGTTGTTTGACTCCTTCTCCATTGTGGATTTGATGTCACTGAAAACGTTGTTGATCAAATTGTGGGTGTTTTCTATGTCATCTTTTTAGCGATGACAAAAGTGTCGTCCATATAGGGAATCCAGAATTTTGGTTTGATCACAGGTTGAAGGATGATGGCTTCCAATCTCTGCATCACTGCTTCTGCAATTAATCCGGATATCGGTGATCTCATTGGAGTTCCTTTCATTTGTTTGTCTATCTTGCCACTGAATTGGAAGTATATTGTCAGGCAAAAGTCGATGAGTTTCATCAGACTTGAACACTTGAGTTTTGTGCGTTCTGAAAGGTTTTTGTGTTCATTGATCAGGAAGGATATCGTTTCCTTGGCCAACTGAGGTTCGATGGATGTATTTAGTGCTGTGACATCGAAGGATACCATTAATTCGTCGTTTTCTGTGTTAATGTTTTTGATCTTTTCTAAGAATTCTGTTGATGATTTGATGGCATGACCGCGTGGTTGAACGAGGGGTTTCAGTTTTCTCGAAAGTTCTCTTGATATGTTGCATGTTGGAGTTCCTGGAACTGAGACGATTGGTCGTAGAGGGATGTCTGGTTTGTGTATTTTTGGTCTGCTGTAGAACCAAGGATGATGACGTCTGCCGTAGAACCGGTGATGATGATGTCGTCTAGAAAAACGATGAAAGCTTCACGATTAAACAACCCAGCTCAGAGAACACAATACAACCAAGGTCATATAATCTGCAAGTAAACTTCTGGTTTACATTAAGTCACTTTCATTAGTTACATGGTTTTGATATCAAGCCATCGTAAAAGCGAAATTGAAGTTTATTCAGGTTGACTTCACGTCAGAAGTGGAAACATGCATTCCAATCTGTTGTTGTTTTCACAAAATAATGTTGATCGTAGACATCACTTAATTTTGTGTAATTTTTATTGAGGTTGCAAACCGTGTCAATTAGTTTTGAACATTTTCAGAGAATCGTGAGACTTCATGGCGTAGCCAATAACACAAATCATCTAATGCGAACTGGCTACCGGATAGTAACCCATAGATCACTAAGCCTTAAGTGCTGGATCACGATGATAGTCTGTCAGTCAAGTTTTGGTAAGCTGATTGTCAGAACACTTATCTGATAAACTTCAGTTAGCGCTCGGTAATAAGGACTTGTTGAGTGCATTCTTCACCATTCAAGGATTAGAATACTCTAAAGAGCCTGAATTCCTCCAGGTTGCAAATATGTTCTCCTAGTAAGTGCCAGTAAGCCCGACACCTAGGTAAATTAAGTCATCCTGACAAATGACATGAACGAGAAATTACCTGAGTTAACAATGAGGGAAGTGATACTTCAAAACAATCTTGTTACAGTTACAATGGAATCCGTTAATACCTTAGGGTACATGTCCCACCTAAAAGCCTGCGAAAGTAAATAACAGTGCGTAGACTTCGACTATGATTGGTCATGTATTAGTCTCAGGTATTTAGATGTCCACTATCTACCAGATTTGGGAATACAGGGATGCATACTCGTGCCCGACTTTAGCCTCATTTCTCAACATGAAGACAACATTTGACTCTGTCAACCAAGAAGGTTGATGGCAGTATCTCTAACTGAAATGAGCGGCGAGTAAGTAAGTCACCCTACTGAAAAATCTGTACTCGAACATATATCGGCGTATTAAAGCCTGTGATGAATTTTCAGGTGAGTTGTATACGTCGAGCGGTATCGGCCAAGGATCTTGAACTTTGCCATAGACTCATTCGTTGAGATCTTCCTTTCATACAGTCACTTCACAGGGAATAATCTCACCACATGAGAATGCTTGGTAGATCTAGAATATGCAAGTAACGCAGTCGTGTTAGGTGAAGATGCTGATAAGACACAGAGTCTTCTAGACATCTTGACTAGCGCTCTGAGAATCTTTGAGGTACAAATCGTTTCTCCAGGATTGGCCTTTAATGGCTCCCTGTCCAACAATAATGAGTTAAGTAGTTGGGGGCATGGACCGCTTCAATTACTTGCGAGATCAGATCAGCCGTGGGTCGGTGCCCAACGAAATATCTGCACGAATACAAAAGGCTCTATTAGCTTTCGCCAGACTATGCCATCTGTGGTGTCGCCTTTTCATTCGTTTTTCCATTAAGGTTCATCATGTGGCACTGTAGTTCTCTTTGTCCAGCCATATGGCTTTGAAACACGCCCATTAAAAGTACATGGTATGAGAAAGTTTAAGGTATGTGATCGTCGTTGCCTTGGTAGCGTAGGCATTCTGTCCTGGTGGTACCATGTCAGTAACGTAGAAGTCGAATGTAGAGGAAAATCAGTGAATAAGGTTGTGAAGCTTCATCGATTGAGGTGACTGGAACATCTGTTATGCATACCTAGTCAGCGTATACCTCATCGCACAATGTTAGCTGAAGTAGATACAACCTGCAAAAGGGCTAGAGGTTCACAAACTATAATTTGGCATCGTTTCATGAAGTCCTTAACTGTTGGTTCATGCTGTTTAGTGGAATATAAAATTAGCGATCTGCTTCCAACTTTTTCACCAAATTAATTTATTCTCCGCCTTTATGTGATAAGCGGAATCATGTACTGAACACAGAAATATTAGGACAATCAAATCAAATTATTTCTTTTTACCTTTATCAACATTTCAATTCGTTCATCATTTTTCTTACTACTTTTCGTTATGCCACCAGCTAGATGTTTCTTCAGTTTGTATTGAGACCAGATAGCAATACCAACTGGAAGTGCATATCCCAAAATACATAGCGCATAGAGATATGCTTTACTTTTCTCATCCATTTCGATCCAATCAAGTAGACAGGATGTTTTATGAGGTTCTAATATATATCTAAAGATTAAGAAAGGTAGTTTTGAAATTGTTTAGAGTATATGGATACTTTGCGTTAATATATTCAAATTTCTAGTCATCCACTACTTTGAAAGGTACACAAGTGCTACACAATATAAAATATAAGATGTAGTTCATTCAAGATTGACTTGATTTATCACTTAGCTATCTGAGATAGCCGTAGTTTTGTAGATTAGAATTTATACTGGGTGATGATTGAAGGTGAAATAAGAAATTCGGAGCGCGGCCGGATTCGAACCAGCGACCACAGGGTTTCCAGCCCGAGGCTGTGCCAACCTAGTTACGAGGTCCTACTGCTGACTAAATTCTTATCTCACTTCAGTCACAAGCAGGGTTTTGCCCGACTACCATGTGAATTCATGACGCGTTACTACCGCTTGATCTTATTCACACTGGATGCCTAGTCAGGACTTTTCATCCCAATCCAAATCTAAATGAAATAAGCGTTTTCTAGTATTTAGGATTTGATTCACGTAATTTGTAGCCAATCAACTAACTTTTCTTAATTAACATTTAGGATACTTATTAGCAATAAAGATCAGACAAAGAACAGAGCAAAATAAATAGCCCGTTTTGTCACTTGTCGATCAAAAAACGTCACTGGTCTTTCATTCCTCATTTTTTGAATTCAGCATCTCTTGGATAACTAAAGATGGAATAGAACTAGTAATCCTGATATCTTTTAGCGACGACTAACAATAACAAGCACCAGTCACCGTCGCCAGGAGAAATCTAAAAGAAAGTTGTTGCTTTCACCTACTTACCTACCCACTCACCTACGCAGAATCGTCTCAACTACAGGTGGTGGCGGCGGCAGCAGCATAGATGACGGTATCGAAGCCTCCCAGGATCGGAAAGACAACAAGACAGACCATCATTAGTCCGAAACTAGTGTGAAGGTCTACTGCACTGCACTCAGCATAACGCATGAATGACATCCCGATTTTCAACACCATTTCAGTCAAGTCACTGCTTCTATATGATGGTTGAGAGACTTGGCGACGTGTTACGAAAAGCATTTCCAATAAACTTCTGACATATATGAAGGAACAGCTGTCGCTTACGCTCACTTGATACTGCAGATCGATGAGATGGGTGGCGAGAATAATAAGAATAAGCAACAAGGAACTGTGGCTGGCTGGCAACAAACCAACCAACCGAGAACCTATCTCAACAAATATGCAGAGGAAGAATGTGGAGGTGGATTGGATTGCATTGGGTTGGATGGATATAGACTGAGAAGACCGTTTGGAGACATCACATGTCAAGCCAGGCCGCCCAGTGTAACCCAGATGGGAAATGACGAGTTGGGCTTCCGAAGCGAGGGTGAGATGGAGGAGATGGTGTGAGGAAGAAATGAAAGGTAATGGGCAGTGAGGGAGTCAAGTTGAAAAAACTGGAGAGAAGAGAGTGCGGTGGAGATGCTCTACTAAAGCCGTATGTTCCACTAGGAACCCGAGTGGCAAATAAGCAATAATAACAAGGATAACTTGAGAAAACAAGTTGAATCTTTATTCTAACTGATAAAAAATAATTGATGTGGAGAGAGAAATTGCTTGCGAATCTGAAATTCGTTGAATATATGACAACTAGCATAATAAAGCTACGGCATACGTTGGGAACATTCAAAGTAGTGGCTCTATGGATTACCTGTATTATCAGAGTAGAGGTAAAAAACTTTTACTATCCCTCTCTAGGTAAATATATATTCTTGCATATTGTAATGTACAGTCGGCATTCAAATACAGAATATCCTGCCTTATCGTGACATCTTCACTCTACCAATTAGCAAGTATTAGTCTAGTGCGATCAGTAGTTTTCCTACAACATTTATATGCTTCTTATCCATAAATTGTCATCCTCAGAATGTAAATTGACAAAAAGCCACTCCAACTAAATTGCTGTGTGGTACTCATTAGTGACATATTTGGAGACCGATATCTCAAAGTACTAATGGGAAGTCGTAACCTTGTGGTCAACCGAATCGGAGGTGAAGTGGATAGCAAATGATGACTTTGGATGACAGTCGCGGTGTATCACAAATTGGCAGAAGTAGAAAAACTTTACACCAATGAACTCTGACTCAGTGGCTGAATGGTTCATGTGCTCATCAGAAGCCTGAGGTTTCTCAGTTTGGTCCCCAGTGAGGTCTTGGATACTCGCTGTTGAGTTATTCCATACTAGGATGAAATAGCTATGTAGTGCTCCCAGATTTTCTGTTTCTTCAGCGGATATAATGAATACTACCTTGAAGTAAATAAAATCTTCACAAATCTCAGACTAAAAAAATCTGAGAAGTTTATTATCCTAATATTTTAGTTAAGAAAACAATGAACTTGCCTGCCATATTTAAAGAACGGTAAACTGGCCCACAATAAACTCATCGACCAAATTCCAAATATAATGACATTATATCGTTTCGATACTAGACTGTTAACTGTGAACAGAAATGAAGAATGTATTCAAATAAGTAGCCGTTTCTGGCTTAATTCAACTTGTAAAATATTTGTAAGTAAATTAGAACAACGTTGTCAACCATAGAATTCATTTGTAGTTAAAATTTTGCTAATTAGACGTTCCTACCAAAAAAAATATACCTCCAAATGACATAGAAACATCTTGAAATTTGATTTAGAGTTGGTATCCATCACTGACTGACGGCAGTTGGGGAATTACTGAAGTCTTGGGAGTACTGGACAGCTGTTTCCTCATAGTATAGAATTTGCAAAGTGTGCGCACACATGACCCCACCAAGAAAATTAAGGTTCTGTGACCAGCATATCACCACTGAGCCACTGAATCAGAATTCAATAGTTCACAATCTCAGACTTATTTTGATTCGTAATAAAATGTGGTCTTCATCCAGTGCCACCACTGAATGCCTGTCCTCACGTACGACTTGGTTTTCCCACAGGTCATGACTTCTCAATAGAACTTCAAGAACCTCAACTCGAAGCAAGTAACTGAGGACGAAACAGCTGTTTAGTGCCTCCAGGTTATCTGTGGTTCTCAAACTGATGTCAGTCTATGGTGAATAACAAATTCGATTAATAAAATTCTCACAAACCCGAAAGTTGGATTACATATAGTTTAAGCCTGAATGCAATGCGACTTGCGCAGTAGATCAGGTCGGGAAGTATCAGTCTCTTAACTCTGTGGTCATCTGCAAACTCATGAAATAAGTTCCTCAAGGGTCGTTCCAGCATAATGTTTCTTCAGTCTGGTCAGTTGTATTACTGTTCGCCACATTTCTTGTTGAGCATCCTCATTTAATCCCGATGTTTTGAACAAGGATTACAATGCAACAAAGAATTTTGGTTTTGAGGGCATCTTTTTGTTGTAATTCAAACCATTATGAAGGAGAAGTTCTTTCATTTTTGTCAGTGGTTGTTTGAAAAGTTAGCAACACAATCGCTTTTGTCCTCTGGTGTATGTGCTTCTGAAAGTTTGACCAGCTTTTTCCTGAGGACATTTCTTCATTGTTCTTTGTATCACCTCCTTGATTTTACAATTGCTGTTGTTAACGTTGTAATGTGTTGTATCGTGAGTATACTTTCTTGTTTCCTCTTTTGATTATCGGTCACAAATTGATATTTTTGCATACCATAACGTAAATCTGTAATCGTCAATTTTACCACTTGTCTTCCATTTAGTTCAGCTATTTTCCATTCCTTTGGACAGTTAGTCAGTGGTCTTTATCTGATACTCTTCTGTAAAATGTGCTAATGTAAGCACTCATATGAAAGTTTTCTAATCTTTGAACACGCTAAGAGTGTTACGCTTATATGATTTGAAATGGTGGAGAACATTTATAGCTCAGGTTCATGATCTTGGTTGTTTTATGTCCTTTGATCTGGGTAGTTCAATCACGAAGTTTCCATTGTCTTTCTTAACAATCAAATCAGTAAAGTTATTATTGATAACGTTGTCTATTAAGATATCGAAAGTGTCATAAATAGACCAACCAGCTGGGAGAACACAACACAACCAAGTTCATGGGTTAAGTGATTATCTCATAGATAATTATGAATGTACAAACTCATTCCGTTTGATATCCGTCGAAATCAATCGACTTTCATAAACCTCTAAATAAATTAGTTACTTTGTGGTGCTTATCACTGAAGCTCTTCGAGAAGTGTTTCTTTAAGTTCTAATGAGAAATTGTGAGCTGTAGGCTTAATCACCTGCGGAATAGGAACAAATACTTACGGTTGCATCAGTCGATGATCACGGTATGCCACAAACTGAGAGATCAGAAAATGTAGACCTGTCGATACTGACCCAGTGGTTGGATGACAATGTGCTGGCTGTAAGAAGTGAAGGTCCTATGCCCGGACTTCGATGGAGTCAGGTATGAGCAGTACTCAGAAGTCCCATACCAAGAGGGAAACAGTTATTCATTACCTTCAGGTTTTCAGTGGTTCTTTAACTGATGTCAACGCTATCTTGATGTACTAAGTTTGATAAATATCTGAAACAAACCATGAACTCTATTTATGCCCTACTGAATTTTGACAAAAAATTTCAGTCGTATGCTGAATCGTAACTGAATATTACGTGAATATCTTGTACGAATGTTTTGATCTCTTTGTAGCACTTCTAATTCTTATACAAACTCACTGGAATTCAAAAACGAATGAAGAAAATGTACTGAAGAAATAAATGATAAAAAAACTGTTGTATATAAGAACTGAATGCAGTAGGAGTATATCTTTTATACACTTACTGTTGGCTAAATTAATTGTCTCAACTGCAGTGAAGAAACAAATGAAACATGAGAGATAAATTGACATCATTCCGAAGAACATTCCACTAAACGCATATAAATGGCAACTAAAGTTACCAAAGGGCCATCTAAAATCCAAAAGCAAAATTAAGGATGAGTTGAAAAAAAGCATATTTTGTATGTTATTTAAAACACTTTCTTATTTTTGAGATGAATGGGGATTTTTAATTTAGAAGTAGTATTCATCATGGACTTACATCAGTTGAGGAATCATTGAGAACCTGGGAGCATTGGACAGCTGTCTGGTCCTAGTATGGAACTCCTCAGCAGTACGCACCCACGACCCCACTGGGCAGGGATCGAACTCAGGACCTGCAGGTTTCACGGCGAACGCGTTAACCATTCAGTCACTGGGTTGGTTTCCAGTGGTTCACAGTTTTCAACTTCTGTCAATTCACGACATAGCGTGACTATCACCCAAGGTCTTCAGATAGCATCAGCTTCACTTCAGACTGGTTGACCCCACAGGTCACAACTTCCATTAGAGCTTCGTGATATCCATCTGGAAGCAGGTTATTTTAGTACTACATAACTTTTTACACTCTGAATATCATGGATGTGTTTTTAAACTTTGAAGTCAATAAACAGATGATTCTAGATTAAGGTTTCTTAATGGTTGCCCCTTATCTGAAGAGCATATCTGGAACTCATATGAAATTCTTATAGCCATCAGAATTTTTATCCACATCACTTGAAGTGCTGAAATGAAAGCCGGAATCTATTTGACAACTTTACACACATTTGTGCAGTAAGAACGAGTCACATCTATTGTATGAGAGCTAATCATGCTATCTAGTTGCTCAAACAGAAGGATGAGAAGCCGCGTTTTATCTCATTACGCAGTGATTGGAAATTGAAGACGTAAATCAATTAGTGGTAGCTTCACACCACTTGGAAACTTAATTGTAAACATTAGTGATAAGCAGTCAGAGTTGATCTTATGTGGTTTTAATTACAGCGCTGTCTCTTGAAGATTAAACCAACACACAGTGTTACTTCTTTACTTTCCTGTCATTCACTGTCATCTGTAAGTGAAAGGCAGGATAGCAAATTTACTGTTATAAGCCTACCAAATCAGATGTGTATATAAATTCGTGTCAGTTGGAGTTTTCCACACAGTAACGTACTTATTATAAACAAAAATGCTCTAAGATAGGTCGGTGAAACGAACAGAGAGTTTTGACGCTGAGTTTCTTGTGTTTGCATTCACTAATATGGCGTATCTGAACCTGTTTTACTCAGTACTAAAGTAAGAGAATTATAACACATTCAAAATCAACGAATAGGTTGTTCATTGCACTATAAAAATATCATTCTTAGTTAGTAGAGAAGACTTGTAGCTCAGGATAAGGATGATAACTTTATGATGTTCTCCGAGCTTTGGGGTGTGTTCCTGGATTTTTCATTACCAGGCTAAGCAGATTTACCAGCATTTACTTCACATTGAAATGAAGCATTTTTAAGTTGAATGAATGTTTATAAAAGATGTTTACTGACCATAAGATAAAGCAAATATAATCTAAATATTTATTTGTAATGGCTGCCGACCTTATTATGTTAGCCAATCAATTTGAGGAATAAGTCAAGCCAGATCAAAACTGAGAGTTTCTGGAAGCATGGTACCCTAATCAAATGGCAGTCGACTGACATACACATTCACCGAATATTCGGACATCTAAAAAGGGATCAGTCAACTAGTAACTAATCAAGCAAGTCAATAATCAGACATTACATCAACAGTATCCACCAAATGATAACAACAGTTATAAAGGTCAACGTGTGACGTAACTTTAAACTGTTTCACTTCCCTAAGAAGTGAATACTGATGGATTCTCTTAGCCTAATGATGGAATGTAGAAGAACAAATCTCAAGGATCGGAGTAAACTACACAAATATCATCCTGTTGGTTAAAAATTGTTGATAAAATTCACCATTCAGTTTTTAATAAACGTCCCCACCTCTGCGACTCCACATTGTAGTGCACTCTGTTTACAATGCAATAGAAAAAATGGTCGACAGAATTTATAACGTAATTCATCCTAGACAATGTGATATACTGTGCACTGTAGTAGCCCATTAGAGTGTTACACTCTTTTCATATTTTTTCATATCTGAATTCCAACATTTGTTATTTAGTTGATGCAAATATGTGAAACATGTGGGCCAATTATTACTGATCATATTTGCACTTCGAATAGCACAAACCTACATCAACAATGGGAAGCTCAGTGATGCCTTTGAAGTAGAGTGAAGACAGGAGTAAAACAAGGCTGTCTACTATAACCCATGATATTCCTGATTGTAGTGGACTGAATCATGCAACAAACTGTGAGGAGTGAGAAGAGGGGGATACACTGCCTGGACCGATGAAAAGAAGCTAGAGGACTTGGATTTCGCCAGTGATGACTTATGTCTAATGTCACACAAACTTGAAGATCTACAGGCGTAAACTAACAAGTTGACAGAAGAGACTGGGAAGCGAAGACGGGACTTCAAGTGAACGTAGAGAAGACGAGGGTGATGAAGAAACCCAACCAACACCACCACCAACAACAAGCTCCAATCACCATCAACAGGAGAAACATAAAGGAAGTAGCCTCTTTCACCTATCTAGGCAGCACTTTTTCAACTACAGGTGGCAGTGGCACAGACGAGAACGTCAAAGCCAGCCAGGATAGGAAACACAGCAAGGCAGGCGTTCAGAAGCCTGAAACCAGTGAGGAGATCTACTGCACTGCACTCAGCATAAAGCATGAATAACATCCAGATTTTCTATGTGATGGTTCAAAGACTTGACGCGTCACGAAAGGCATTTCCAACAAACTATAGATATGCAATAACAACTGCCCACGCTGGCTCGTTACTGAAGCTCAGATGGCCAGGAAGAATAAGCAACAAGGAATTCACTCTGTCAACGAACCAACGAAGCAAGAACCTATCGCTGAACAAATATGCAGAAGGAAGTGGAGATGGAATGGGTATGCACTGAGGAGACCGTTCGGGGATATCACGCGTCAGGCCCTTGAGTGGGACGCGTATGGGAAACGGTGAGTTGGGCATGGGAGGCGAGGGTGATATGAAGGAGATGGTGTGAGGGTAGAAATGAGAGCTTGTGGGCTGTCATGGAGCCAGGTTCAAAAGATTGTAGAGAACAGAGTAGAATGGAGATGTGCTACTGAAGCCCTATGTTGCAATAGGAACCCAAGGGACAAATAATAGTAATATCTGCACTTCTATTTACACTTCCAAGAGATCCTCAACTGTGGTTATAGGTATAATTTCAAGACTATGTAGTTGGTTGTAATAGGAGCTACACTAAAGTTTTTTCTATCGTTCAATCGAAAGTTAGGGTGTAGCAGTAATTAATTGCTGTCCACTAAATGATTACAATGGTACAATATGTCTATATTGCTATAATTTAAGTCATATAAGGCTAATCATGACGAAATGTTTTCTTGATATGTACATATCAGCAAGTAATGAAAGTAGTTTTCAGATTTTACTTTCAGCTGTGAATGAAAGCGAAAATTTCATTTGAAGAAAGTTATTCATTTATTTCATCATGAGATAAATGGTTGCCTAACGCAATCAATTGCTCATGATATTCCTTCCCCTTCGTTAGGATCTGTCAAATATATGGTGCTAAATGAAACTTTGTAGTGCGAAAATTAAGAGGCTATCTCTACAATTTTTATATTTGCTGTCTCTCAAAAACTGGTCAGTCAGTATCAGTGTGGGACCTGACAATACTATGTGAAGATCAAGCTCCGATGCTCTGCCTTAGAATTTGGTGATAATAGGCAATAAGAAATTAGACAAAAAACAGAAGTGGCATGACAAAAGCTGTAGAACGGCACTGAAGGGGATAAAGATTGTATAAAGTTAATAATAAGAAATGACATGACAGCTGAAATGAAGATAGGATGTGAATGTATGTGCATCACTGTAATTGATTGTGAATCATATAACCCAGAGTAACTAAACCTTAAGTTTCAACTATTCCATTCACTGAAACATGGAAGCTCATACTTTCCTACATAAATCAGACTAATAGTCAGGAATTGTATAGACTGATACCACGTTTTATCCTGTCCATCGTTAACCTTCTTTAGTCAGCCTAAACAGGTGTAATTGTAACTTGTTTCTTCTCTAAGCATTTGAATCAACACCGTTAACTTTATCGTTCAGAGGCGATACAACATGTTTAGTTAGTTAATTTTACCATCAAAATATGAATGAGTATAAGATTTCAAGTCACAAAAAGGTGCATTTCATTTTTAAGGAGGTGAATGTAGAACCATGTTCACCTTCATAATTACCTAGATTACTTGAGATTCATGTACCTTGCGAACGGAACACACCCATTTGATCATAGGAAGAGACAAGATGTGGTTCCAGCAAAGAAAATTTTTTCTTTTCGATAAAGTCATTTACTAAGCTGTACATTCGTGAATATATGTTACAGTACATAGAATGTTTCAGAATAGTTTCCGGTCAGGAGGCAAAATATATTGAATGACGAAAGGAAGTTTAATTAATACACACTTGTGTTTAGAGTGAAAAAATAGACAGGGGGTTATGAAATTAAATGTAATTATGTAATACACGATGAATGAATGGCAAAGTAGGGAACTGAACGAAGGATTATGGAGACACAATTGCGATTATATAATACCGGATAAGCCTATGACAGAGTGTGAGAATAAACAGGGGATCATAAAGATAAGATTTTAATTACGTAATGCAGGTCCAATTTGATATAAAATGAATCTGTTGCCGACAGGGCTTTATGATGGCCATGGCAAAGATAAAGATTGAGCGTACCTTTTTTGCACGCATAAGGCTGGTTCGAACTTCTGGATGGTTAGTGCTTCAGTTATAGACAGATGCCTTGATTTTACTCCCTTCGAGTGGTTCGATCTAACCCTGTAGAGAATTTTGAATGAGCTCTCAAAAGGTGCTAAGTGGCCTGAGTTCACGAGGTGTTCTATTATCGAACTGAAGATGCATTTCTGTTCTCGCTTTGCAAACCAGGCTACCTACTGTAATATATATTCACGAATGTAC